AGACTTGACTGGGGGAGGGGAAGGGAAATGGGAGGCGATGGCAGGGAAGAGACAGAAATCTTAAATTAATTAATTAATTAATTAATTAATTAATTAATTAAAAAAAAACTCACAGAGACCCACCTGCCTCTGCTGGGACTAAAGGCCAGGCCAGATGTTGTTCTGAAGTCATGTAACTGAAAAGTACATGAATCTAGCTCCAACACTGCTTTCAATTTAAAATCTCCATGCTCTAGACAGTTGTGGTGTCACAAGCCATTTAATCCCCATTCTTGGGAAGCAGAGGCAAGCAGAACTCTGAGTTTGAGAACTGTTCTACAGAATGAGTTCCAGCACAGCCAGGGGGACACAGAGAAACTGTGTCTCAAACAAACAAACAAATAAATAAAAATCTCCCACGGACACGGTTCATCTGTGTAGAGCAGGGACAAGAGCAAGTCTCAACTCTGATCCAGTCCCGCGTCCATCAGTAGGTTTCCCGGACCCAACTCCTCAAGGCTGTTCAGGGTGGTGCGCAGGGAGGGGAGGTGGTATCAAAGAGCCTAATGCTGAACCCATAATTTTAATGAATACCCTAAGTCCAGACAGAGCGGCGTATTTAAGTCCCCTTTTTATGTCTCCCTGCTCACCTAGTTTTAAATGGACAAACAGGCGATACTAGCGAGAAGCGAAGCGAGAACAAACAAAATCTCCCTAACCGCCTTGCCAGTCGGCTGTGCAAATACTACAAGGACCACAATGCCGCGCGGCGCCAGCTAATCAGTCGCGTGTTGCTGCGCAAACGCAGTGAGATCCAGCGGCCCGAGTCCGGAACGACTACAAGCCCCAGCAGGAGACAACAGCTCACACGGACGAGTCGGCGTCGCTAGTGCGGGACCAGGAGTCTCCGCGAGCAAGATGGCCGCTCCCGAGACGCAGGCCGAGGGGCGCCGGCACTGAGTCCGGACCCGCGCGCCCTTCCTCCAGCCTTGCGTCCCCACAAAGACCTCGCGCTTCTCGCCATCAAATCCCCATGGATTATTCTCGCTGTGGTCTCGAGGCCGTTCCAATAGAGCCTTAGTTGGCCCAGGGAGAGAACTCTGGCACAGCGCTGCTCTGAGCTGGAACCTCAGGGAGGTCTGCTGCAACAGGGGCGACACTGACTGCTCCATGCTTGTGGGTGCGGGGAGGCGTGGCCTCCCCCGGGGCCGCTACCTCTGCTGTTTGCTGTGTGCTTTCACCTTGAAGCTCTGGTAAGTGGGTACCGAGGGAGGAAAAGGGAGCGCGCAGGCGGACCCGATGGTCCTCGCCCCCATGAACCCGGACTGCTCAGCCACTGAAGTGGGTGTGCCCTGTGTTCTGCGTTCTCACCGATGTTCTCACCCCCTTTTCCTGTCTGCAGTGAAGCAGAGGCTCCCGTGCGCGAGGAGAAGCTGTCAGGTGTGTGATTGCCCGGGAACCCCGTACCTCTCTAGTTTGTTTTGATTTTGAATGTCTTTTTGTGTGTGTGTGTGTAGCAAGAGCACAGATAGAAAAGGAAGCGCCACATTGAATGAGGGCAAGCGCTGTGCTGGGAAGCTGGATGGGTAGACCCTTAGAGAGAAATGTTTTTGAATAGTCTTCGGCTGGCCATTTTTCTCTCTCTCCTTTTAGTGAGCACCTCAACTTCGCCATGTTGGCTGGTGGAAGAGTTTGTGGTGACTGAAGAGTGTACTCCGTGTTCTAACTTCCAGATTGTGAGTTTTTTGCTTATTTTGGTGTTCTGCCCGCATGTACGTCTGTGTGAGGGTGTCAGGTCCCCTGGTACCGAAGTTACCGACAGTTGTGAGCTGCCATGTGAATGCTGGGAAGTGAACCCTCGTTCTCTGGAAGAGCAGCCAGGGCTATTAGACACTGGGCCATTTCTCCAGTCCCCAAGTATTTGTTTTTGTTTTTCAAACAGGGTTTCACTGTGTAGCCTTAGATGTCCTGGAACTCTGTAGACCAGGCTGGCCTCGAACTCACAGAGATCCGCCTGTCTCTGCCTTCTCGGATTAAAGGTGTGTGTAATACAGTAGACAGGAGTTCTTTCTTACCTTCTAGATTGTTGCCTTCCTAACTATGTCACCACCATCCACATCAGGGCTCTCCATCAGCTGTCTGCTGCCCACTGCCGCTGGCCCTTTTTGAATATCAGTCTTCGGTTTCTTCTACTCCTCCTCCCTAACGAGTGCTTTTGGACCTTTTCTTTGGCAGAAAACTACGCCTGAGTGTGGTTCTACGGGCTATGTGGAGAAAATCACATGCCGCTCCTCTAAAAGGAAAGAATTCAAAAGGTAAGGACCGCTTCTCTGCTATGAGGTGACCTGATCCCCGTACCTAGGTAGCCCTCTCCCGGCTGCGGTGCAGTTTGACACACAGGATGCAAAGAGGAGGAGATTTGAGCCAAATTCCTCCTAACTCCTAGTCTCCATCTCTATGTCATTAGCCATGTTTTCTGATCAAATAGTTTGGCCAGGTGGAGAATATAACTCATTGGTAGAGTACTTGCCTAGTATGTATGAGGCCGAGTCTAATTTGCAGCGTTGCTTAAAAGGAAAATAAAGGTTCAGGAGATGGGGGCGTATCGTGCCTTGAATCCCAGCACTCAGGAGATAGGCTTAACTCTCTGAGTTCAAGACAGCTTGGTCTACATAGGGAGCTCAGGTCAGCTAAGGCTGCGAAGTGATTGTTAAATAACTAGTTAAGGCAGATGTAATGACACACATCTTTGATCCTGGCATTTAGAAAGCAGAGGCAAACAGATCTCTAAGAGAGAAATTAGATGTCATGGTAGGTAGAGGAACTTCCTGCCAAAACTGGAGCGGTGATACAGAGGTTAAAAGCACTTGCTGCTCTTGCAGAGGACCTGACTCAGTTCCCAACACCCACATAGTCTGTAACTCCTGTTCCAGGGTATCTAGCACCCTCTTCTGGCCTTGTTGGGTACCAGGTACACATGGTACATATACATACATACAAGAAAGCAGTCAGATATAAAATAAATAAATCAAAAAAAAAAATCTTTAAAAAACAACAACTTGAGTTTGATACTCAGAACCCAGATGGTAGATGTACAGAACTCACTCCAGCAAGGTGTTTTCTGACTGTCTGTCCTATGGGATGGGGAGAAGATGGAACCTCTTTTTTTATGAGTGTGCACACACAGCCTAACAAAAAAGTAGGCTTTTTGAGGTATGGGGGGCAGAGGGGTTCAAGACAGGGTTGCTCTATGTAAACAGTCTTGGCTGTCCTGGAACTCAACTTACTCTTTTGACCAGGCTGACCTTGAACTCACAGAGGTTCCCCTGCCTCTGCCTCTGGAGTGCTGGGATTAAAGGTGCGCCACTACACCTGACTTTATTTGTTTTATTTTAGTAATCAAATTGGTTAATGCCACTTTAAAGCGTGACTGACTCCAGTTTCCCTTCTGTTTGGATAGCGTCTTGGGTAGGCTGAAGTAGAGGACAGTAGTTAAGAGAGACTGGCTGCTTCTGTGAATGACTGTCCTTCTTCTGCCCTCAGCTGCCGGTCAGCTCTGATGGAACAGCGCCTGTTCTGGAAGTTTGAAGGCACCATGGTGGGTGTGGCTTTAGTCTTCGCGTGCCTTGTCATCCTTCGTCAGCGACAGCTGGACAGAAAGGCTCTTGAGAAAGTCCGGAAGCAAATTGAATCCATATAGCCGAATTCCACTGTATTATGCGGCTCTTACGGACTGTATCTCAGATGGAGAAGGGCCAGTGGGCTAATTTGCACTCATGCGCCTGTGGTAGTAGCACCTTTCCCTGACTTCCAGACCATTAATGAGCACAATAAAAAGTAAAGTAGAGCTGGGCATGGTGGCACACACTTGTAACCGCAGCCCTTGAGAGAGTGAGGCAGGAGGATCCTGGGTAAATTTATAGGCAGGCTAGCCTGAACTACATAAGACTGTCTTTAAAAAGCAAAAAAATAATAATAAAGGAGTAACACAATTTCCTTACCTATGATAGTTTGATGTGGGGGGACTGGGTGTGGTGGCACATCCCTTGAATCCCAAACTTGGGTGACAGGCAGATCTCTGAGTTCAAGGCCAGCTTTTCTACACAAGGAGCTCCCAGCCAGCCAAGGATATGTAGTAAGACTACATCTCAAAAAAATTAAGAGGTTGGTGAGTTTGCTTAGTGATTAACGTAGCATCTGGATTCATTGCTAGCATCCCAATCAGGTGATTTACATCCACTTGTAATTCTAACATCAGGAGATCTGATGCACTGCAGCCTCTGGGTACCTGCAGGCAAGCAGTGCACAAACTCATACAGAAATAGACAGATATTCACAGGAAAACGAATAAATCCTTTTCTTTTTAAAAAATTTCCCCATGTGTATAAGAGACTGCATGTATGTTTGTGCACTCTGCCTGTCAGTGCCCTTGAAGGGCAGGAAAGGTCCTGTGCTGCCACACGGCACAGGGCATCGAACACTGGTCCAACAAGTGCTCTTAACCACTGAACCACTTCAGCCCCAAAGTGAATACGTCTTTTTTAAAAAATAATTTGAAGGGGCTGGAGAGATGGCTCAGTGGTTAAGAGCATTGCCTGCTTTTCCAAAGGTCCTGAGTTCAATTCCCGGCAACCACATGGTGGCTCACAACCATCTGTAATGAGGTCAGGTGCCCTCTTCTGGCCTGCAGACATACATACACACAGACAGAATATTGTATGCATAATAAAGAAATAAAATATTTTTAAAAAATTTGAGCCAGGTGGTGGTAGGGAATGATGATTTATCAGGTAACAATTCTCTTCCTTCTTTTACTCTTAATTTTTTTTTTAGACTTAATTATCTTATATTTTATTTATGGGACTGGTTTACCTGTGTGTGCATGCACCATGTGTCTGCCTGGTACCCTCAGGTCAGAAGAGGATGTCGGGTCCCCTAAACTGTAATTGTAGATGGCTGTAGGAGTGGAACTCAGGTCCTCTGCATGAACAACAGATGTTCTTAACCACTGAGCCATCTTCCCAGTCTTAATCATTTACTGTTATTTAAAATTTCTGGGCTGGTAAAGTGGCTTAGGTGTTAGAGTGCTTGGTGCAGCGGCTGGAAAGATGGCTCCGCAGTTAAGAGAACTTGCTGCTTTTCCAGAGGATTTTGTTTAGTTCCAGTACTTGTGTCTGGCAGAGCTCACAACTGCCAGCTCCAGGGATCCATTGCCCTCTATGGACACCCACACGTATGCACATAGATACATACATAAACATTTTGACAGTGGCACTTCTTTAGTCCTGGCACTTGTGAGGCAGAGGCAGGCAGATCTCTTGAGTTCAAGGCCAGCCTGGTCTACAGAGCAAGTTTTAAGACAGCCAGAACTACACAGAGAATGTCTCCAAACAACGAATTCAAGAAGTGTTTGTTTCATAGGCCTAAGACATGAGTTTGATCCCTAGACTGCATAGTGAGAGGAAAGAAAGCTAAAAAGTTGCCATGAGCCAGGAGATGCTGGTGCACAGCTTTAATCCCAGCACCGGGAGGCAGAGGCAGGCGGGTCTCTGTTAAGAGTTCCAGTGAGCACCCTGTCTCGAAAAACCAAAAAGAAGTTGCCCCTGACCTTCACACGAGTATTATACATAAAATAATACTTACATATCATAGTTATATACAGTAATAAAAAGCTAAGCTGAATGTGGTCCTTCATACTTGTACTAGCTTGGGAGGGAACCAGAGTTTGAGACCAGTTTAGGCTCTATAGTAGGAACTTGTCTGAAGCAGTAAAATTTTCTGGGATTGAATTTTAGCTAGAAAGTTTATTTCTGAGTCAAAACTTGCTTCCCGTTAGTCCCATCCCTAAAGAAGAAATCACAAATATAGGAGAGAAGTATATGAGAAGCCCTGCCATATAAGCAGCCTGGCCTCTGTGGATCTGTGGAATCTTGAGTTAGAACTCCAGGGTATGGACACCTAAACGGGAATTCCAGATGGAAGAGTTGGGGAAGCTTCTGGGTTCTTGTGGGATTGGAAAGGCTTACATCTCATCCGCATGCAGCGTCCCTCTGATCTGCCCAATGGGTCTGTTCCTCGTCCCCAGCTTTAACTGTGTCTTCGTAGAGCCATTTGCAGCTGGGACTTCAGGCAGTCCCCCCTCCAGTTGGGACTTCACCGCTGGAATCTCTGGGCTTTCTGTAATGTCCTTGTGAGTCAAGATATTTCTGGAAATCACTGAGGAGAAAACGTGGTCCAGCATTTGTGCATGTGGGAGACTCACCAAGAATATTCCCGCTGAGCCGGGTGGTGGTGGCGCACGCCTTTAATCCCAGCACTTGGGAGGCAGAGGCAGGTGGATCTCTGTGAGTTTGAGACCAGCCTGGTCTACAAGAGCTAGTTCCAGGACAGGCTCCAAAACCACAGAGAAACCGTCTCGAAAAACCAAAAAAAAAAAAAAAAAGAATATTCCCGCTGTTGGATTGTTTCAGAGAATGCCTTTTCTGGCTTCTTACCTCCATGAGGCTGGTAAGCCTTCGGTCTGCCTTCTGGTTGACCCTGGAAGGGGCTGAAGCTGGGCAGGATGATGAGAGCCAGTGAAAAAAGGAGAATCTGAAAGGAGCAAGGGGGCATATGGGCATTGGGGACAGCAGAGGAGGAAGACAGCATCAACAGTGTCAGTACAGTTATCAGGGTTTGAGAAACAGGGCTAGGTAGTGGGGGTATTAGGTGGCAGTGTGGAGGATGTACCAGAACACAGGTACTGGTCTGGGCAGCTCTGCTGGAGGTCTGAGCAGTGAGCATCTGTAACTGATGGACCTGTGCCACCAAGGAGCTAGGAGAAGAATGGAGAGTTAGCCCAAGTTCTTACAGCTTGCCTGGAGCTGCATCCTCCCTCTGGACACTGCTTCTACTTACGTGTTCTGCCTCTCCAGCTCCTGGACTTTTCTCTGTAGTTCCTGATTCTGTGCAGAACAGGCTGCCACTCTAGGGAGTATAGAGGAGACCACGCTTGGCAGCTGGTCCCTTAAAATGCTTGCCTAGGTGAGGAAGGGGGCGGTACCCAGACACACCTGCTCTCCAGCCCGCCTATGTATTCTTTCTTCCGCCGTCGGCTGTCCTGCGCTGACTGCTTGTTGCGGATTTTCCTCCTGACCTTCTTGAGTACTCGTTCCTCTGCCTAGATGCCCAGGGCATGCAGGGCTGGGCCCTTAGCCTCCCTTAACTCCCCACTGTCCCTGCAAACCAGGCTCTTTGGAGGAGCTCCTGGGATGGAACACCCTTTGGGGACAGTTCTTACCTTAGTAAGGGGCAGGTGAGAGGGCAGAGAAACCCCTTCTTGCCCCAACAGATGCTTCTCTTCATCTGTCAGGAACAGACGTTGGCAGGACAGCTGGGAAGAGAGGCAGAAGATGAGCAGGGTCAAGGTTGCCTGCTTCCAGCACCCAGGCTGCCTCTTCACCCCCAGAACTCTTTCAGGAGAGGGGCTCCCGTTTGTGCTGAGTGGTGAGTGAGGTCAGGGGCAGAAAGCTCATTCAGACAGGCTCTGTGGCAAGCCAAAGGGCCTACCCGAAGCTGAGGAGGCAGAGTGAAGTTTTCTATCCACATATAGAAACTTGACATTATTGATCAAGTTAGAGAGGGCCTGCTGTGGTTTGTCTCCTCAGACCTCAGAGCACTCAGAAGTCAGAGAGGGCATGCTCTGCTCTGTGTCCCCAGACCTTGGGGCACTCAGAAGGCACTATGATGGGCTTTGTTGAGTTTCCTTGTTAGGTAAATCATTTGGCTATTACCTTACATTTGGTGAAATATTTGGTTGCCTGTCAGCCACAGGGACGTGTGAATCATCAGGTTCTAAGTTCCAACTGTCATGGAGTTTATAAGGACAGTTAGGCCGACCTCTCAAGCCAAGTGTGTGGGAAGGGTAGATGGTGTCTGGTTAAGCTGAGCCCGTCATCTGAGGACCCTGCCTTCCCACTGGCATCCGTTTATTTATGGTGTGTGTGTGTGTGTGTGTGTGTCAATCTGTGTGGGTGAGTTGTGTGCAGTGCACGTGTGGAGGTGTGTGTGTGTGTCGATCTGTGTGGGCGAGTTGTGTCCAGTGCACGTGTGGAGGTGTGTGTGTGTTTGTGTCAATCTGTGAGGACGAGCTTGTGTCCAGTGCACTGTGGAGGTGTGTGTGTGTTTGTATTGATCTGTGTGGGCGAGTTGTGTCCAGTGCACGTGTGGAGGAGGTGTGTGTGTGTTTGTGTTGATCTGTGTGGACGAGCTTGTGCCCCAGTGCAAGTGTGAAGGTGTGTGTGTTTGTGTCGATCTGTGTGGACGAGCTTGTGCATATGTGGAGGTGTGTGTGTTTGTGTTGTTCTGTGTGGACGAGATTGTGCCCCAGTGCACGTGTGAAGGTCAGAAGAGAATTCCCGGGAGTAGTTTTATCGCACCATGTAGGTTCTTGGGATCAAACTGAAGTCGGCAGGTTTGGCAGCTAATGGCTAATGCCTTTGTCCAATAAGCCATCTTACTGATCCTAGTATTTCTTTTTAAAAGATTTACACTTTCAATTTTTTTTTTGGAGGTGGTTGGTTTTTGGAGATAGGGTCTTTCTATATAGTCTTGACTGTCATGGAACTTGCTCTGTTGACCAGGGTGACCTGGAACTCAAGAGATCTGCCTGCCTTTGCCTCCCGAGTATTGTTTTTAATAATGTTTAATTTTATTTTATATTCATTGATATAAAGGTGTCAGATACCCTGAAACAGAGTTACAGACAGTTGTGAGCTGCCATATGTGTGCTAGGAATTGAACCTGAGTCCTCTGGAAGAGCAGCAGATGTGCTCAGCCATCTCTCCAGCCCCTGTTTTTGTTTTTGTCTTTTTGTTTTCGTGTTTTATTATTATTTTTAATTATGTATGTGGATCTTTGCTTGCATGCCTGGTGCTCACAGAAGCTGGAAGAGGATGTTGGGTTCCTTGGAACTGGAGTTATAGACAATTGTGAGCTAGGACTTGAACTTGGGTCCCCTGACAAAGCAGCTAGTGCTCTTAACCACTGAGCCAACACTCTGGTCCCTGGATTTTTTTTTTTTTTTGATTTTTTTTGAGACAGGATGTCACTAGTAGACTAGGCTGGCCTTGAGCCTGTGGTCCTCTTCCTGCCCTGCCTCTGAGTGCAGAGATTTCTGGTGTGCCACCACACCCAGCTTATGTTTCACTTAAGACTATCTTAGTCTGTAGCTGGTAAGATGGCTCAGCAGATAAAGCACTTGCCACACAAAACTCAAAGTCTGAGTTTAATATTTGGAATCCACGTAGAGGAGGAAAGAGAGAACCAGTGCTACAAAGTTGTTCTCTGGCCTCCACATAGCCATGACACAGTGTACCATCCTTCTCTGGCCTCCACATAGCCATGACACAGTGCACCATCCTTCTCTGGCCTCCACATAGCCATGACACAGTGCACCGTCCTTCTCTGGCCTCCACATAGCCATGACACAGTATACCGTCCTTCTCTGGCCTCCACATAGCCATGACACAGTGCACCGTCCTTCTCCCTCACTTGTATACACAATAATAAAAAAACTTTTACGAGGGGGGGCTGGAGAGATGGCTCAGTGGTTAAAAGCACTGACTGCTCTTCCAGAGGTCCTGAGTTCAATTCCCAGCAACCACATGGTGGCTCACAGCCATCTATAATGAGACCTGGCGCCCCCTTCTGGCATGCGGGCACACATGGAAGGAATGCTGTACACATAATAAATAAATCTTAAGAAAAAAAAAAGAATGTTCTGGCTGTGAATTTAAAAAAAAACTTTTATGAGGATAATTTAGTTTGGTTTTTTACTTTGTATGGTGTGTGTGTAAGAGTCAGAAAGATGTAGTTGCACATGTATGTGCAGGTGTGGTACAAGTGACTAGAGGCCATAGTGGCAATACAAGTGTCCTGTTCTAGCACCCTCCACCCTTCCTCTGAGACTGAGTTTCTCACCAGACCTGGAGCTAGGCTGGCACTCAACAAGCCCCGTGAGCCCCCTGCTTCAGCCCTCAGAGCATGGGGTCTGGGATCTGTAGCTGTTTATGTGGGTGCTGGGGATATGAACCCCCAGCTCAGGCCCTCATGCCCACATAGTGATTGCTTTTTCTCACAGACCCATCTCAGCCTCTGGCTTTTGCTTTTGGATGGCCTTTGGCTCTTGGCTAAACCATTTCCTATTTCCTTTCCTGATCCTCCCCTTTTTCCTCCAAATGTTTTCGTGGAGTGTTTCTTCCAATCTCTCTAACCAAAATCTCTGAGAATGGAGCGCAGAGGGCTTTGTCTAAAAATAAAACAAGCACAAATCCTGTGCTGATCTACAAACCCCTAGCAAGGCTTCTGGTCCCAGCTTCAGGCACAGAGAGGAGCTTGGCCTGAGTTTGGCCTCTATTGGTCTGCCCAGCAGGCGTGAGCATAACCCAGCTCCAGAAGATAGGGTGCTCTGCACATCACTGCAGCACTGGCCGCGGGGCAACTGTTCCAGCGCGAACACTTGCTACTGTTTCTCTATCACCCTGGATTCCCAGGTGGCCTGTCCCAATTCCCTTTCCTGACCCAAGGCTGAGAGCAGCTCTGGTGGCGTATAAGTGCACTCTATGTCTAGGTGTCTCTAGAGCTCTGACTGCAGCTTCCCTTATCACACCTAAGTGAGTCCTTATCCCTCTGACCCCCCATAGCTCTCCTCATCACACCTAAGTGAGTCCTTATCCCTCTGACCCCCCATAGCTCTCCTCATCACACCTAAGTGAGTCCTTATCCCTCTGACCCCCCCCCCCATAGCTCTCCTCCCCACACTTCCTTGTTCTTAGAATTGCTTGTTTCTCCTTGGCCTTCAAACCCACCAGCACCAAAAGTGGGACAAACCTGTTCCTCATTAGTTTCCCTTCCCTTTTCCCCTGTGCCCCCATTTATGTAAGGACACGTGTTCCGAGGAGCGCCAGTTCTAGCGGGTCTCACGACTTACCAGGGTGTCAGGAGCTGCTGGGGCTCCAGTGCTGGCTCGAGGCAGGATGTGTCTATGAGCCTCAAAGGGTAGCCCACTGACCGTGCAGGTCTCAGGCGCCATGAATGCAGAGCTCCATTGCTCTAAGGCGGATAGAAAGACAGGGAAGAATCAGCAGTGACTGGGCAGTGCACAGTTTGGGGACCTTCTCCCCTAAATCTCACGGCCAGGGCTGGGCCCAAAAGGGACACTGACCTATCTGGATGGAGATGAGTCCGAAGGCTGGCCCCGCTTCCTGCTGAGTGCTCTGCACGGCCCCTGCCTCATAGACAACCTCATAGAGGGCGGGGGAGTCGGGCGCCTGTGGGGCGGGGGAGCTAGGGTCTTCAGAGACACCACTGTCACTACCAGGAGCTGTTTCTGAGCAGTATACCATATTGGGATCAATGAAGAGGTTCAGGAGATCGTCAGGTTCGCTCTTCTGAAGGCCCTATAGAAGGAGAGTGTGAGTGTCCGAGAAAATTTTTGAAAGTCCTGACATTAGTCTTGCATCCTTTATGCTTCAATTTTGGTGTTTTTCCTTCTTAGACTTATGTATGAACATAGTTAAAGTTCATATCTATTTTGTGGGCTCTTAGCAGACCTCTTTCCTTGTGAGAACTGAAGCCACTTAAGGCTTAATCTCATTCCCACTTGGATTCAACAAATTCACTCAGCCCCAGCCCCTCCTCATCTCCCAGTCTCGCGGGCCCTGATCTTGAAGCCTAAGCCATCAGAACCTTTGACGGAGGACAGTCGAGCCCCAGCTCCAGGAAGGATCCTGTTGAGAAGATATCTTCTGGGGGCTCCAGCAACTCAGGGCACCCGGACTCCATGCTTCTGTAGGAAGGTAGTGGGGGTAGTGGAGTGGTTATAGAAAGTAGGAGGCGGCTGTCCCAAGCTTCTGGCTCCCGTGCATTCTCCGCTCACATGCAGAGCCCCTCGCAAAAGTTCAGTTCGGGCTCATGCAAACAACCCCCTAGGTATTACCTGGGTTTTGTTCGGAGAGCTTTGCCCTGCCAAACCAACCTAGCCCGCTGAAGTCCCAAACACTACACCTTTTCTTTCCTCCAGGATCTTGTATCCTGGTCCTGCCCAATCAAGCCCCGCCTACGCCGTCCATGGAGTTTGGGGGAGGGGAGGGGAGGCTGGGTTGCACCTGGCCAGGAACCATTGTCGCGACCTGGATCTGAGAGTAGCATTAAGGCGCTGCCCATATGCAAACTGAAATAAGATTATAGGCACCCACGCCCCTTTTGTCAGAGTCCCCCAGTGCTAACAGATCTTGCTGAGGGCTTGATGTCTCTCAGCAAAGAGCTGCGATGGGAGTGACAAGCACACGGGATACCTGAGCTTTCTATTTCGAAGGCACAGTCTTTATAAGAGGGAAACAAACCATTTTAGGGTAGAGAACCAAGCCAAGATTTGGAGGCGCCCCCGCCCCGTCCACCCCATAGCCGCGTGGCACTCTTCTACCCGTGAATCCTAATTGGAAATTGAAGATTTACGGCAGGGCTTCCAGCCAATAGCGGACTACTTCGAGGCCCACGCCCTCGTGATTGGCGACAAAAGACCAACAGAGGGGTCACAGAAGTTTGGCAGAGGCTCCTGGTTCCAGCAAGAAACCATTGTAGGAAAGTTGAGTGGAAACTTACGGGCTGAGGGTAGAAGTCTCTGGATTTGGGTTTGTTTATCTTCCGATTTCGAGGTCCCAAGTTATTTCTTACGCAGACAGTACCTGTACCTCCACCTCCTGGCAGCTAGTCGAGCAATCGCGGCCATGTGAATCTGCGAACCACGCCACACACTGCAGCACTCTGGGGACCCTGTTAACCCACGCAGGAACACAGGGCAGGAAAACTGCCACGCATTATCCAAATGTTTGTTTTTGGTTTGGGGGTCTTATTATTTTCCTATAACTACTGGTTATATGTTTTGTTTTGCGTTTTGAAATTGGAGTGAGGAAGTCATTGCCCAGGGCAGCCTCCTGATAGCGAGTATATCAGTGTTGCTCGAAAGCTGTCCTGGTGTAGGAGTTCACGCCTGTAATCTCAGCGCAGGAGTGTCCCTGAGGTCGCTGTTAGCCTGGGCTACAGAAGATCCTGTCTCAAAAACAAAAACTGACAAAACGCAAGAACAATGTATCTAGTGATATGTCTAATAAATTCTATCTGTCTTCATGTTTCACTTAAATCTGTCTTCTGAGGAGCAGGAACTATGAGATGGTGGAACACTGTAAGAAAGTTGAAGATGTGAGGATTCGTCCTTTAACTTTTAATCTATTTAGCAGAGCCACCAGCGTGTTCACAGTACACAGTTTGCCACAGAAAGTGGTTTGGATGTGTCCCTGCCTACAGCCTTGAGGTAGGTATGAGGTGTTGACTCAAATTTGATACACCTGGTTCATCTCAGGACAAGTTGTGAGATCTTGTTTGTTTATTTGAAAAAGGGTCTCACTGTGTCTTCTGGTCTTGTTTGTTGAGACAGGGTATTACCGAACTTGTGAAATATTTATAATTTTGTTTTTTTCCTTTTTCTTTCTTTCTTTTTTTCTTTTTTTCAAGACAGGGTTTCTCAGTAGCTTTGGAACCGGTTCTGGAATTCACTTTGTAGATAAGGTTGACCTTGAACTCACAGAGATCCTTCCGTCTCTGCCCGAGTGCTGGGATTAAAAATATCTATAATTTTCTTTTCCTTTCTTTCTCTTCCTGTGAGAGCAGACAGGCAGTCACAGGGTTAGAAGGATGATGGCTCACATGTCACTGCCCAGCTGTGGACGCCAGAGGACAACACCCGGAAGTCAGCTCTCTCTTCTGCTCCTGTAGGTCCTGGGACTGGTCAATTTAGTGGCTTTACCCACTGAACTTCCCTGCCATCTTTCTATCTTTTCTACTTGCTTATTTGGTTCTTTTGAGACAAGGTCTTACTCTGTTACTAAAGGCAGCTTCATGTTGAAGTTTCTCTGGCTTCAGCCTCCCAAGGAGTGAGCACCACACCTGTCTGAAAGGTTTCCTCTGTCACATGATGTGCTGTGTGTCAGCTCTCAGGCTCACAGAGCAGATAATATTTTGCCAGTTTTACTGATAAGGAGTCAGATGCTCGCTGGGCCATGGTGGCACACACCTTTGATTCCTGCTCTTGGGAGGCAGAGGCAGGTAGATCTCAGTGAGTCTGAGGCCAGCCTGGTCTACAAAGAGAGTTCTAGGACAGCCAGAGCTATTACACAGAGAAACCCTGTCTTGGAAACAAACAAACAAACAAACAAAAACTCAAACAAACAAACAAAAAGGAGTCAGATGCTCTTGGCTAAAAAATAGTAATTTCAAAATTTCAAAGATTGTTTTGCCTTGATCTAGTGTCTGATGGTCCAGGAGTGTACTTCAAGTAGACAGTGAAACTGTGCTAACACAGGTATGAGCCCTGTGTGCCTTCCTTTCAGGAAACATTGGGAGGTGATTCAGAATTCAGATGTGTGCTAGTTTTGCTTATGAATATTTGACTAAGACATTGGTATGAACTGGGAAGATGCTAGCACGTACTAACAACTAGAGCAGCTATTGTGTGTGTGTGTGTGTGTGTGTGTGTGTGTGTGT